GATTTTTTTTGCTTAGGTTCTTGAAATGTGTTCTTAAGCAATACTTACTGCAATCCAGAGGTGCTGGAGATCATGCCATGAGGTTTAGTTTCTGTTCAATTTCTATCACATACCAAAGCCCAAGGAAACCCTGCAAGCACTGCTGAAGGTAACATGAAGGACCCAGGATGGGTAACAGTGTGTTAATGCCAAATCCCAATAATCTCTGACAGTATCTATTTCACTTGGATCCACTTCCATTTACACACTATGTTCAAGCAAGAGAAAATGCAAGACCTGCAAATACCTTGCCAAAACTTTTAAAATAAAAGCACACCCACCCCCATTATTACTCGTTCACTCTCTAATGCAAATTATGATTTAAATAAATCAGCACACTAAAGATAGATCTGCTTGCAAGTGAAGAGCTCAATGTCCGCAATCAGTGTGACAAAGTGAGGAGAAACAATGTGTCACCATGATTAACTGAGCCTTAAACATGAACATCCAAGCTGCAGTACAGATATTTGATGCTGATAAGACGAGCTGATTTTAATGCTCTCTGACTGCCAAGAAATCAGCTCTTAGAGCTCCACCCAGAAGATCTGAGAGAGAGTCCAGCACGAGGTCCTAATGGAAGAAGAAAATGTCACCCAGACTCAGCTCAGTCTTTCAGGAAGGGCTGAAAGGTCTTGGAAAGAATTTCCCCATGCTGGGTGTGTGTGTGTGTGTGTGTGTGACACTGAGGGTGTGTGTGTGTGTGTGTGTGTGTGTGTGTGTGTGACACTGAGGTCCAAAGAGGTTGGGCTACTTGCCCCAAGTCACACCACAAGTGGCAGGATTGTTACTAGAATCCTCAACCAAGGTCCCCATTGCCTTTTCAAGCCAGAATTTCCTGTGAAGGCATAGGCTTTGACCAAGATTTAGGGCTCTGGGGAGACAGATGTTGAAATAAAAATAATGAGCCCGTTGGGCAAAGAGAAAACTCAGGCACAGCAAGACTGAATCTTTTACAATTAGTCACCAGGCATTCTAGGACTTCAGCCACCCTCTTCTCACCAGGTGTAGATACAATCACCAGAATCAAGAAACAGCAGGCTAAGTGACTCAGAACAAAAGCTCATGGTTCCTATGTGCTTCAGCTGCTTCGGGCCTGGAGTTAGACCACTATGAAGTGTGAGAGGTAATGCATCTTAACAAGCTGGATCTCTTAGTGGCCTCATTACTCAACTAATTGCCACCCATCTTTATGCTAAAATAGCTGAAGGGTTTTCCCCTTGATTTCCTCAGATATTCTTTGAAATCACTTTTCATCAGCATTTAAAATTACTTACCCTAGCCAGGTATGGTGACACAAACCTATCCCAGCATTCAAGAAGCTGAGGCAAGAGGATCACTGCAAGTTCAAGGCCAGCCTGAACTACATAGTGAGACCCTGTCTCAAAAAACAAACAAAAACAAAAAAACAAAAGGTACAGGACTGTGGTGACTGCCCATCTGAAAAACAGATGGAAGCTGAGAGTGTAGCTCATTTAATATGCATGAGGCTCTGGGTTCCAACACACAAACACACAAAATATATGTGTATATATATGAATGAATGATAGAGCAACAGACCTGCAGTTAGCAGCCATGGGAGTTACCTGACTTAGGTTTTCTACCTTCCTCTTCTGGAAAGCATAACAGTACCTATGATAAAAATTACTGGGAGGACTAAATGAGGTCACACGCATGAAGTGCTTAGAACAGTGCTTTGCCTCAAGAAATGTTTACTACTACTACTACCTGTATTGTTATGATCACTAGGAAGTCCTAGTTTTGACTCTGTTCATCTAGCTGAGTGCATCTCAAACTTTACCCTGCACAGTTGAGCACCTGGGAATACTGGTAAAATGCAGGTCCTGGTTTTCCTAGATCCAGGCCTACAGTCTGCATTTCAAACAAACTCCCAGAGGCATGGGCACCTCTGTCACACAACGCACTTTAAGCCACAAGGATCTGCCTAACCCAGCACCTAGCAGGGGCTTAATACTACTGACACACATGAATGATTTCTCTACATCTCAGTGATAACTGAAAATTAATGACACTACACAGAAAAGAACATTCTAAGCTGCAAGAAAAGCTATAAATGTGGTAGTATAAAATATGACTTTCATTATTCATAAGGTTGAATTTACAACACTGCAATACTACCTATACAAGTACAATAATTGGAATATCTGAAAATAAAGCTTGAATGCCTTGTTCAGGAGAAATACTCCATTCAAGGATCCTCTAGGAATTTTGGCAGAACACAAAAGCTCAAGGGATTCCCAAGTCAAAAGCTCTGAAACTTTAGAACTGCCTTTTGGTGCCCAACACAGAACCAATTTGGCAGGGAAAGTGTGGCCATTTGAGGCACTGGGAGCGAGCTTTGCTAATGATTCTATTCCTCTCCTCAAGCTGGCCAGCCTCCTACCAACCTTCCTCAGCCAAAGACAACAGCATGAAACAGATGGGCACTGCCCTGGCAGAGCCCACACCTGCTGCTCCATGCTGGAAAAGAGACATACTGGGAGAAAGGGAGGACTTCCGGATGTCCAAGGTGGGGGCTCCTGTCAGATCTACCTGGCTATCTTCTTTGGCAGAAGCAGATTTCCTCCCCATGGTCTCTGTGGTATGGTACTTACAACCCTGCACCTCTCCTCTGAGGAGTTTAGAGGGAAGCTTAGCTAATTCTTCCTCATAGGGCATCTCATCCAAAAGTCCTCTCATCATTTTATTTGTTTTGTTTTTATTTTTTTGGTACCTGGGATCGAACTCGGGTCCTTGCGCTTGCGCAGCAGGCGGCGAAACCACTGAGCTAAATCCCCGGCCCCCTCTCATCATTTTAGAGGCAGATGGCTCTTCCAACATCAAATTGCTCAGGCCAAAAACCCAAGAATCATCCTTACTCTCGACGCCCTCAACCTGATGGCCCTACCTCCAAAACACATCCCTATCGAGCCTCTGTTACCATCCTAGGCCACCATCTCTCACCTAACCTCTCAACTAGTCTTCTGCCTGCCTCTCTCATGTCCTCTAAAATTCACTGGCCTGCTGTGGTGGTGCACACTTGTAATCCCAGCATTCGGGAGGCTGAGGCAGGGGGATCCCCAGGAGTTCTAGGCCAGCTTGGGCTACTACCGTATATATATATGTATATAAAACCTCACAATAGTTTAAGGCCAGTCTGGACTACATGACGAGACCCTGTTTCAAAAAAACAATCAATAAAAATAAAAGGGCCAGGGATTTAGCTCAGTGGTTTCACCACCTGCTGCGCAAGCGCAAGGATCAGAGTTCGATCCCCAGTACCAAAATAAATAAATAAAATAAAATAAAATTCACTGACCACATAAAGGGCAGGTGATTTTTTTCCTCCAGAGCTGGAGATGGAACCCAGGGCCTTGCACAGGCTAGGGAAGAACTCAAACACTGAGCTATACCCCTAGGCCTAGAGTGATTTTTTTATTAGTACATTTGTAGTACATAATGATTACATTCACTGTAGAGAGTAGGTACATGTATATAACATCTTAATTTTATTCCCATTCCCCTTCTTTCTGGGTCGCCTTCCCATTTACACAAGATCTATCCCTATGGGCTTTTCTTTTGCTCTTTTTTTTTTTGGTATCAGGGATCAAACTAAGGACCTCGCACTTTTGAGGCAGGTATGGTGCCACTGAGATAAATACCCTGCTCTTTACCGATATTTTGGATTTCTCATGTAAGTTAGCAATATACTATATAAGCTTATGTATCTTGATTTATTTCACTCAAAATTATGGTCTCAAAGTGCATCTATTTTCCTATAAATGACTCAAATTTATCCTTCTTTATGGCAGAATAGTACTGCATTGTGAATAAATACCACGTTTTCTTTATCCATTCATCTGCTGATGGATATAGACTGCTTCCAAGCTTTAGGTATCATAAGTTGTGCTGCTGTAAACGTGGGTATTCATGTTCCACTATAATATGATGCCTTTAGCTCTTCTCGGAAGATACCTAGCAGGAGAATAGCTGAATCAAATGAAATATCTAGTTTTAGTTTTTTGAGGAATCTCCACCTGGAGTGATAAAAAAAACAACAAAAAACTAGACTATGTCACTCCCCTTCTCAAAAGCTTTCAGTGATTTCTTCTGTTTTCAGAATAAAAGCCTAACTTCTCACTCCAGTCTACAAGGCCCTGTATGACCGAAGATCCCCATTCTCACGACTCATCTCTCCTGCCACTTACTCCTCCCTTGCGGCTCCTGAATCTACCACGCTTGTTCTCACCTCAGAGCCTTTCCTCCAGCTGTTCCTCCTGGCACATCTTCAAATAGCTAGCTCCTTCCTGGGAGCAAATCCCAGCAAAAACATCACTGTTTTAAAGAGGATTTCTCTGACCTCCCAATTAAAGTAGAAGTGCCCACAATGCCCTGGAACACTCCTCTCTATGCCACCATGCTGTATTGTTTTCACAGCATTTATTCCTATTCAAACTACCTTGCTCATCTGTTTGTTTTTCTGCTTGTTGCCACTTGAATGTAAGGTGCATGAGAGCATGAGAACAAGGACCTCGTATACCTTTGTACAATCATATGCCCAGGCTGCAATAGGGCTGAAAAACACCAGGGGCTTAGCAAATGCTAAGCAAGTGAAGCCAGTCGAAAACAGCACTGAACTTGTCAACAGACTTTGACTCCACTGGTAAGTGGGCCACTTCTTAGCAGCACGATTTCCCTTACTCAGGTTCCCTGGCTGTATAATGGAGATCTTAATCTGCACCTTACCCTCTTCCAAGAGTTACTGATAAGATCAAATAAACAAAGGGACATTTAAGGATTTTTGTAAACCATTAGACACCATAAAGACAGCTCTATATTCTTCCTCAGGGACCTAAAAACAGTGGGTGGAAAGACATAGGGAGCAACCTGAGGTTTCTAACCCTGGATAAGTCTTGGGAAATGGGGTTGAGAAATAGCTCAGTGTTCAATGGTAGAGCACTTACCTAGCAAATGTGAGGCCCTGGGTTCAATCCTCAGCACTGCAAAAAATAAAAATAAAAAGTCTTGGGACACAAGAGATTTGAATCAGTGGCTTTATTCTGCGGCCAGAGCAAACACAACATACAAATTCACTTAAAGAAGGCAAATCAACTGATAATGGTGTTTCACCCCTGCAATCCCAGCTCCTGGAAAGGCTGAGTCAGGAGGATTAAGAGTTCAAGGCCAGGGCTGGGGATTTAGCTCAGTGGTTCTGTCGTCTGCCTCACAAGCACAAGGTCCTGAGTTCAATCCCCGGTACCAAAAAAAAAAAAAAAAAGAGTAAAGAGTTCAAGGCCAGCCTGGGCAACTCAGAGAGATCCTGTCTCAAAATATGTAATAAAAAGAGCTGGGGATATATTTCAGTGATAGAGTGCTTGCCTAGCATGCACAAAGTCTTGCATTCAATTTTTTTAAAAGTCAAATCGGGCCAGGGCTTTAGCTCAGTGGCGCCAAGCCTGTCTTGCAAGCTCAAGGTCCTGAGTTCAATTCCCAGTTCCAAAAAAATAAAATAAAATCATGACAAAATATCCTCTAGGTTCCTTGAGGTTATGAGACATTCTCCATGTCCCTGCCTGCAGAGATTTAGTAAACATCTACTGAACTGGGTGTCTAGCTACCAAACTTGGCATCCTACCATTAGCTTTCACTTTTCCTTGAAACCTATTCTGGCATGAGAGTGCCAGTTCCTGGAGCAACCCTGTAACATGACCAGCATTTTCATAACGCTATGAGAACTACTATTTCAAGTCTGTGATGACCTCGTGAGACTGACAAACCTGTTACCATCACTACATACTTCAATTTATTCACTCACCAATCATTAGTAGCATATATAATACAGGTGCTATGTTAAACCCAAATAATGGCAGCTGACATTAGCCAACCATGCCAGGCTCTTTACATGGACTAAGCTCAAGTCCATCTCCATGGTACCCCTACATGATAGGTACCATTATCACCCCACTTTACAGATGAGGCAAAGGCAGCACAGAGATGAAGGCATCCACTAAGCAGCACAAACCCTGGAAGTGGCAGGCCAAGACTTTAACCTGCAGCCTGACTGCAACTTTTAACCACAACTGCACAACAACACTGAAAGACCTTCAGTACCACCTACCCTACATCCCATTTTCAAAGGAGGGACTAAGGGATAGGGAAGCCCCCCGTTACACATTCCAACTCTTCTTTGAGAGCCACAGGTTGGATGGTATCTATTTAAATGGAGCTTTACATGAGATCTTGTTTCCATGCTATTGGAAGAAAAGCTTCTAGCCAAAGCCGTTAGGAGTAATAGAATACCCCTGTGGCCTCGCAACAGAAATCAGAGGCATCAGGGAATGGGGATAAAACATAGGATTTACCTGGAAACATGTCCAGTTCCATCACATAATAGTAAGATTCTCAGGCAAGTTCATCTGTGTGAGTGCGTGTTACTAGGGATTAAATCCAGGGACACTCTTACCAGTAAGCTACATTCCTAGACCTTTTTCATTTTTTCCAGTACCAGGGATTGAACTCAGGACCTTGTGCTTGCCAGGCAGGCGCTGCACCGCTGAGCTACATTCTGGGTCCTTTTTTTTTTTTTTAATGACAGAGTCTTGGTAAGTGTCCTAAGTAGGACTTGAACTTGCCATCCTCCTGCCTCTGCCTCCCTTGGTGCTAGGATTGCAGGTGTGTACAACTGTGCCTGACTTATTTTTGTTCTGTCTTTTTAAAAACAGAGTCTTGCTATGTAGTTCAGGATGGCCTTGAATTCACTATCCTCCTGGCTCATCCTTCTGAATGCTGGGATTACAGAAGTCACCACGCCCAGCTAGTCCATTCACTTTCCTAAATTTCCTCATCTGAAAAATGGAGATGACATCACCAGGTAACTGACAAAGTCTATGTAAAGATGAAATGAGACAATGTATCTAAAATGTGCTCCCCCACCATTCTGGGCCTTGTGCATAGTAAACACTTTATCACTTCCAGGCCTAAAATATGCTTCTTTGTCATATACTTGTAAATAGTTAATACTGCTTTAAGCACGTCCCAAAAAACATAAAGATACTCTTTTCGTTCTGGAATGATCAACAAGGCACAAGTAAGAATAAAACCAGCTACCTAGAAGGATGTGGTCTCAGGGTTTCTCCCATCAGGGCTACTTTTCAAAAGTCATCTCCTTGCTCCAAGCAGAACAGAGACAAGAGAATGCCAACTGGCAGGAATACCCATATGAGCTGGCACACTAAACATCTAAATCCTACCTGTCCCAAAGCTATCTCCTGCCAGAAGCCTTGCATATCCTGTCCCAAACACCTCATGGAGTTTCTCTAGCTCTTACCATGTGCCAGGCCACTTGATAGACCCTGTGCCATTGGATTCCTGCCACAGTCCATTATTCCGTTTTACAGATAAGAAAGGGGGGGGGGGTCAGAGAGATTAACTTGCCCAAGGCCACCCAGTTATGGGACAAAGATGCAGTCTCAAACTCTGACACTCAAGACTCAAACAGGACTCCTGAAGAATTCTCCCTTCTTCCTTTCACCCACTATACCACACATATCTCATCACCTTAACCACCCAGAGCAGCAAGGGTTAGGACCCCACTGAACAAATACGTCAACTGAGGGAAGAGAAGGAAAGGGACTTGCCCAAGGTCACACACGAGGCAGCGACGGCGCCGAGGTTCAGCTCCTAGTCTTCCCAGCTGGGGCCCTGACCACGATCCAGCCCCATGGGTACTGCGACCCTCGGTGGCCATGTCTGGGGGTCGAACTGAGGCCCCGCCTCGGGGAGAAGGAATAAAACCGCCTGGACCACCCGAGGATGCCCATAGACAGGGCAGAGGATGCTCGGGCTCGCGGGCATCAAAGCCAGTCTGAGCCGCTGGTGCCCGCCGCCAGGAAAGTGCCAAAGGGGTTGCCCTGCCTGGTGGGCACTGCGCCCCTCCCGACTCACCTGAGGCCAGAGCAGAAAGCTGGAGGCGGAGGAGGCGGCGGCGGCGGGGGGGCGGCGGCGGCGAACCCCAGGCTCAGCCATTCCCGGCTGCCCCGGATGGGGAGAGACCGCTGTCGCTCACTTCCTTGGCAACTCGGCTCGGCGACCCACTTCCTTAGCAACCGGTGTCAATTTCAATAACTTTATTAGGACATGGGACACGGACACAGTCAAAACCGACAGAATAGGGAGGGTCTATTTCAGTGATGGCGCCTGGTAGGATAGTCCGCTGGCATCTCCTTCAGTTTCTCCATCTGTAAAGTGGAATACACTGCGATGTCAGCCGCCTTTTCACCCCTCCTAAACAGCTCTCACATTAATTACCTGATTTGTGTCTCAAATTATTGCTGAGTACCTCTCATTATGTGTCCACCCTGGGACACAAACCAAACAGTAATCATTCTGGAGTCTTCCCTGCCCTTCACCCCTCACATCCAGTCACCACTTCCCTTAGTCTACCTCTCAAATGTTTCTCCTATTTCTCCATCTTCAGTGCCACCACTCCAAGCAAGGCTGAGGCACCCTCATCTGTACACTACCTGAAATATCTAGTCTCTGCTTCTTTCTGCTCTGCCAATCCATTTCCCACAACACGGCCAGAGTAATAATTTAAAAACCTAAAACGGATCACATCACATCCTGGTTAACATCCTTTAGTGGAGTCCCACCTCTCTCAAATTCAAATTCAAAGTCCTTACTACTTCCTACAAAATCATTAACTCTGTTCTAGCCACCCTGGCCTAGAAGACCACATCCCATCTCCCCATGGGACTCACACTATTATAGCCACTAAGAACCAAGCTTGGTCCATAGTAGGTCCTCAATAAATGCTCCCTGAATGAATGAATGAATACCTGTTAACATTCTTCCTCACACCAACCCCTACTTTTTGCTTGGTGTGGGAGAAAACTGTTTTTCTTGCTTCTGGACACACAAACTACATTTTGCAACCTTCCTTGCAGCTCAGACCAAGTTCTGAACAATTGAATATGATATGTGCCATTCTTAGGCCTGGCTCATACAAACCTCCCACACAATTTACACTTTCTCCACTTTCTCTTTATAGTGAAGTTTCTTTTTTCTTTTTCTTTTCCTTTTTTTTTTTTTTTCTCCAGTATCAGGGATTGAACTTAGGGCCTTCATATTCAACTATATCCTCCCCACCCCCTCCATATTTTTCTCTTTTGAGACAAGGCCTCACTAAGTCACTAATTGCACAAGCTGGCCTTGAATTTTCAGTCTTCCTACTTCAGCCTCCCAGAGTGGTGGGATTATAGGTATGTGCAACCATGCCTGGTTTAAAGTGAAGAAATTTAAAGAACCTTGAGACCCCATGAGATGGCTGAGCTGTAAAATGGGAGGAATCTGGATAATGAGATACTCCTTAGAGGACAACTGGCCAGGAAGCCAGATAACCTGGATCATTCAAGTTGAACAAGAAAACAAACTTTTATTGGATTAAGCTATGAGATGTGGAGCCTTTCTGTGGAGATAAAAGTGATGAATCATCCTTTGTGCCTCAGTTTACTTCCCTTCCCTGTAAAAACACAACCTACTTCCCTACCTGCCACTGTTAAAAATAGTTCAGTCAGAGACTGGGATGGTGGCATATGTCTATAATTTCAGCACTCAGGAGACTGACAGGACAATTTCCATGAGTTTGAGGCCAGCCTGGGCTACATAGTGAGTTTAAGGCCAGCAATATCTAGTCTCTCTGTATATTAAACTACATGGTGAGATCCTGTCTCAAAAACCAAAATTAATTAATTAGTAAATTAAAAAGTTGTCAATAAATATTTACCTTTTAATGACCACAAATATTTTTGTCTACAGAGCCAAGTAATATATGTATTTATATTAATATTTATCATATTTATATTTCATTTCTTCCACATCTTTTGGTATTTTCTGAGGCTAATAATTGCCTCAACTTTTTTCCATTTTTTACTAGTCTTCTTTGTAACTATTGTTAATTTTTTCTATATGTTCAATAAATCAGGCCAATAGCACTAATTTTTTGGGGGGGTTTTTTTTTGGTACTAGGGATAGAACTCGGGACCTTGCACTTGCAAGGCAGGCAGCGGAACCACTGAGCTAAATCCCCAGCCCCCAGATCTCTAAACACAGCAAATAGCTCATTATTTTAGGGTGAGTGTGTGTGTGTGTGTGTGTGTGCGTGCGTGTGTGTGTGTGTTTCTCCTAAAGACTTAGCTGTAATCAAGACAGTATTTCCAGGTCTGTTGTAGGCCTTCCACACTGGACCTTCCTATGTCCTGCTCCTGGGATTTCCTGCACAGGAAATGTCTTTTCTTTTTTTTTTTTTTTTTGAGACAGAGTCTCACTGTGTAACCCAGGCTGGTCTCAAACTTGCAGCGATCCTCCTGCCTCAGCCTCCTGAGTGCTGAGATTACCGGTGTGTGTCACCAGGCCCAGCCTACAAAATGTCTTCTGGTTATGGATTTACTCCCTCATGTTTGTGCAGCACATCCTCTGGTAGATTCTGAGAAAGCGTACATGGAAGCTGATACATTTAGTCCTTGTATGTCTGTATACTGTTCTTACACTTGATTAATAGCTTAATGGGGTGTAGAAATCTAGGCTAAATTTTATTTTCTCAGAATTTTCAAGTCGTTGAACTACTATTTCTCGTACCCAGATTTAAGATGACTAATGTCATTTTTAATCCTGTGGGTCTGTATATGACTATTCTTTCCTTCCCATCACCCTCCTCCTCTTTTTCTTCTTCCTCTTCCTCTTTCTCCTCCTCCTTCTCCCTTCTCCCTCTCAGATACTGAGGATGGAACCCAGGGCTTTGTGCATGCTAGGAAAGTGCTCTGTCACTGAGCAACATCCCCAGCCTGATTTTTTCCTTTTTGTTTTTAATGTTTGGAAACTTTTAAACTATTCCCTTCACCCACAGTATTACAATGTTTTATAATGATTTGCTTCTGTGAGGGTTTCCCCATCTCTTATGTTAGTTGAGCTCTTTCAATCTGGAGATTTTTATGCCTCCAATATAAGAAATTTTCTTCTGTTATTTCTTTGACAGTTTTCTCCTCTCATTCTTTTTCCCTCTTCCGGATCTTCTCTTAGTCAAAAGTTGTTCATTGTGGACTCAGGTCCTAGTTTTCTCATTGCTTTTCTCTTAATTTCCCTCTTTTTAGTTTTGTCTTCTCTTCTAATATGGGAGATTTCCATGCCCATCTTTAGCATCCATCTCTCCTATGGAAGGATTCTGGGCTTACCTTTCTGGCACCAAACCAATATTCTCCCCTGCAGACATTTCATCTGTAACTTACTCCTCCTATAGGTCAGCTACTACTTCTCTGTCTCTGTTTTCCAAAAAATTACTGAACTCTTTGGGCCACCAATATCTCCTCTCCTGTCCTATTAACATCATGGATTGAGGCATTGCTTTATTCCTTGCCATACAGGTGGAGGTTGAGGGTAAAAACTCTTGCATGTGAATAATCTACCACATTTAACTGGATGTCTTCAATGCTTTATAATATTTTTTAAAAGAGAGAAACTGGTATAAACAGACAGTTCAGAAAAAAGAATAGAAAATATGGCTTTTCAACATAGGAAAAGATGCTTCTGCTCACTCATATTCAAGGAAATGAAACTTTAAACAATGAAGCTGAGCATGGTGGTACACACTTACAGTCTCAGCCACTAAGGAGTCTGAGGCAAGAGGATAACTTGAGGCCAGAAGTTTGGGGCCAGGCTGAGCAAAATAGCAAGATCCATCTCTTACCAGAGGGGGGGGGGAGAGGGAGAGAGAGAGAAAGAATTATTTCTCATTTATGGGGTGGGGGGGAGGGCTGTATAAGGCATGGTTGATAAAGGTTTGTTCTTGTACATAGCTGTGTAGAGGATGGGATTTGTAGTAGTTCTTTAGCATTTGTATATTTTATGATGATCAACTTGATCTGCTTTATATAAGACTTTCCTATTTTAACATCAAAAGTTTTTTGTTCCAAGAAACCCCTCAGTCAGGGCAGACTGAGATAATCAGTCCCCTTGGGGTGGTGGGATGCTTTTTTTTTTTTCCTGGTACTGGGGATTGAACTCAGGGCCTTGCGCTTGCCAAGCAGGCTTGGCACCACTGAACTAAATCCTGGCCCTGGGATGCTTTTTAATGTAAGACCAGTAAGTTTCCATTTCTGGAACTTTCTTTTCATACCTTTTTCCCTTTTCCATTCATTTTGGACTGTAAGGGATTTGTTACTGATGGAAGAGTTGCTTCACCAGAAAAATAGAGAAAGGATTTTCTGAGTCCCAAATTCTGCAGGAGGGGACTCAAGGAATGGAAGAAGTCTTGAAAAGTCATAGCAGGACTTCCAACCCTGCCAATATGGGAGATTTTCTCAGTTTGACAATCCAAAGATGGTAAGAATGCAACAATAGGAACAATGCCACTTTCACTGGGACAAGGGGGTCCTGGTCTGGAGATCATACAGACTACAGCAAAGACCCTTCCTATTGCCTCCCCTGGGGCAAACTCCAGCCCAGAAACCATATCCTCTCAATCCAGTGAGCACCACTGTGTCTGTTCTACATAAAGTACAGAAGCCAACTCTGACCAATGGTACCAGGAAAGGATTTATTAGCAGAGTATTGAGAAGTTCACAACATCACAGGGATGTTTCTGATAGACTCCCTATGGAGATGACAAATGGTGGAGGGCCTGGTTGCCCTACAAGGGTAAAATCACTAGGTTTTCTTTCCTCTCTGACATCTAGGCAGTGCTGTCCTGTCCTGGCTTCTAGAAGTGGCCAGACTATGTGAGACCACGTGCTACTAGACTCATCCGGTGAGAACACTGGATGCCCCAGCTTTATGGGGGCATCTGGCTGTGGGCACTGTATCAGCACGCAAAGACTGCTCATAATTCCAGCTTCTTGGTAACCTGTGCTCTGATTGGTGGAGCCTTGATCATCCTACCTGTCTCCTACCTGCAATGGAAACTGTAAAGACAAACACAGAATCTAACTTTTTTTAAAGCTTCTGTGGTAGGTGGCTTCCACTTACAAAGTAAAAAATTTCATCCAGGGATGATGGCA